ATCTTCTGCCCTGGCCCGAGTAAACCTTTCCCCTGACAGAGGAAGGTCAATGAGAAAGTGATCATTGATGAAGTCAGAAAACTCCTCCATGGCCCTCGAAATCAGGCTACACCCTAATCTCTCCTCCGGGAATCTAATAGTGTTAAAGTCTCCCCCTAGAACCCATGGAATGTCCCATTTCCCCATAACATTGGCTAGTTCCTCCCAAAAAGACACCTTGGACCCTTCTCCTATCGGTCCGTACACTCCCCCAAATTCCCACTCCACCCCACTCACTCTATCTTTGACAAGAGCTGCTAAAGAAAAAACTCCCTTCTTAATCTCCTTTACCTCCAAGCTTCTATCATCCCACAGAAGAAGAATGCCCTCGGCGCTTCCCGCTGCCGGGACTCAGTCATATTTTACCTAACTACCTCCCCAGACACTCCTCACAATCGCATCCGACAAAACTTCCATTTTGGCCTCCTGAAAACAAACTAGGTTGGCACCCCACTCTGTAACTCCCACTTTGATGATGGCCCTTTTGTTTGGGTCATTCATCCCCCTCACATTCCAGGAAAGAATCTTAACTTCCATAAGTAACAATATCCCCCCTTTTCCCACCCCCCTAGCTGAGCTCCCTTCCTCCTTATCACACACCCGGCCCTTCTCTGGTACACCACTACATCCCCTAAATTATTTTGCTTAACACCTTGACCCAACTCCCTCCCCGCACTATCATAAAAAGACCGTTGCTCAATTTCGCTCAACAGTTCTAACACCCTATCTTCCTTCCCTTCAAAAGAAACACCTACGAACTTCTCGAAGTTTAATAGTTTATCCTCCATCCAGAAGGACATATCCCCTCCTCTAATCCGTGACGAAATTGGACACGCATCTTCTACGTGTACCTTTTCCTTGCTCATACCGAAAGAATACAAGACCATAACATTGCTAGCAATAGGAACTTTAGGTGCCGAAAGGATCTCACCATTTCCTTGAGAGCCACCAACTTCTGAGATTAACACCCCGCTGCTATAGGGATGTCCAGAAACGCCAGCAGTGCAGCAGGAAGAAAGAGAACATGGAACTCTTGGCGGCATATTAACTGGAATTGCTGGTCCGGCACTAACATCAACTGGGGCATGCGCAACAATTTCCCCAGAAGAAGGAGCTTGAAGTGTAACCTCAGCACAGCTAAGCACAGGAGAAGATGAGGGGGCGATGGAGTTGGGTCCATCAGAGGCGGGAGGCCGTGGAATAACACCACCAGCTTTAGCCGGTGCTGCCCTTGAAGTAACGGCCATCGAAGAGGGACGAAGGACACTAGAGCTCGGAGAAGAAATATCACTGTGAAGCACCATTGGCAGATGAAGAATGAACGACTGTTCCCATATGCTTAGGAGCCTTATCAGACGCAACTTGAAATAATTTGGGCCCTTTAGGATCAATTCTAATAGAATTGGGAAAAGTTGCTGGGCCCATGTGTAGATGCCCATGCCTATACTTGCTGAACTTGCCTGGCTCTATCATAATTAAAAGAGGACCGGCTCATTTTGCCTTTCCAGCCCGCATCACTAACCCAGGGCATTCACCTCTTTTCCTCCTGATAAAATTGTGTCTTCTTCTCCCAAATTCAAACCCCCCGTCTCTTCTCGATCTAACTTCTGATTCCTGCTTAGCCCACCAATCCGGTGAGCCCTCCCCTCCCCTCAGAGACTGATTTCCCTGCCCCTCTCTTCTATTTGACCTACCCTTTTCTTCCGCCACTATCACAGGCATTAAGATAGGGCGAAATTCAGAGTTCAACCAAACCCTATAACTCAAGTAGCCATCTTCCACCACTTTGGAGACAGGGATTTTGCCCCCTTTCCTCACCACAATCCTCACTCTCGAGAGATTGTGTAGGCTGCTAGTGACATCAATAAAGCCCCCACAGATTTCCCCAATCTTCTCGAATAGGTCAAGACACCAAAGATGCACCGGGAGACCCACCATGTTGACCACCAATGTTTCGCTGGTGAGACGAGGGCCGAGACACCCATCGTGCTCCACCCATCTGTCTAGCTTTAAGTTCCCATCGAACCACCTGTTTCCTTTGACAAGAATTTCTGAAGCTTGAGACTCGTCGACAAATCGAAAGAGATATTGCGTGTCCCCGAGTTGCGATATTTTTAGCCCGTCCTTGACGTCCCATGCCTCTGCTGCCCAGTTCCTAACAACCTCTGGAGAACCAACCCATTTGGAGAAAGATCCAATCAGAAAAGATTCCAAGAAACCTTTGCGCCTGAGAGTGTGCTCCTCGGACAGCGAGAAGTGCGGCTCCTGCCCTACGTCGAGCTTTCGATGGCATCTTCCCCCAAGTTCTAGGGCTGGCCAAGAGGAAGCTTTGATGAAAGACATGTTTTCCAATTTTCTAGATTGTAGAGAGAAATAGGAGCTCCTCTCTGTATAGTCCATCGTAGCTAAATGCGGCTACCCCAAAAGCCTCGCTAGGAGGCTGACTGAAGAAGAGGGAGTGAAATCTGACCGGAAAAAGCCTCACCCGTCGCCGAAAAATAGTAAAAGTGGTCGGAATTTGGAGGTTGGTGGATGGGTGGGGTCGGAACAGCCTCGTGAAGAGGCTGTCTGAAGAAAAAAACTTGAGATCAGGCTTGGAAAGGCCTCACGCGCTGGCACGTGGATGAGAGGTCGTTGGAGCTCTGCCGCGCATGGCGGCGCGTGGGGGGTCGTACGCCGGAGATGTTTTCTGGGGTAGTGTCGCGGTAGGGTTGGCTCTCAGATGGTGGTGGTGAAATCCTAGGATTCATGATTCTTAGGCGCCTCGGGGAGTGTGCCTGAGAGCATTTTCTCTGTTTTTGTATTTTTCAAGAAAACACTTATGTTCATAAACGCTCCAAAGATTTAAAATGTTCTCTTTCTTGCTTAACACTTAGGGGAGAAGGCTCGCATTAATCGTACTAGGAAATCATGTGTTTATTAGTTTATCCAATGCATGCATGTGGAATTCAATTTAAACTTGTTAAAATGTTAGTCGTTTCCTGAATAAGTTTAAGTCATTTCTTCCACCAATTAGAATAGATTATTAACTTTTAAAACTTTACCTATCACAATTAAGAAAATAAAAATAAAAAGAATCTATGAATAACAATGCATGGTTTCCCAAGATGAGTGTTGCAGGGATGCGTATGCCAAGATTGATGTGCGGTCACACAAGATTAGATAATGTTAAAAATGACCACATTTTGCCAGAAGTTGCAAGTAGCACACATTGAGGATGAAATGAGAGAAAGTTGCTTGAAATGGCTTGGCCATGTCTTGCGTCGACCTGCAGATGTATTGGTCCATAGGTGTGAAACTATGGTGGGGGAGGTGTTAAAGGGGATCGAGTAGACCTAAAATCACATGGAAGAAAATTGTCTCGAAAGACCTACAAATCCTTGGATCAATGCAGAACTAGCTAAAGACAGGGCACATTGGAAGAGAAAAATTCATATAGGTGATACCTACTAGTTGGGAATAGTTTTTAGACTTGATAGAGAACTCCTATTATTATTGTTGTTATTGCCTATTATTTTTATATATATTTTTCTTTTTTTACTTGCACTTCTATTTTAATTTTGGTAATGATGGTGATGAGTTGAGCTAAATGAAAGGAAGGAGGATTTGTATCGCTGACCCCAACTTGTTTGAGACTGAGGCGTTATATTGTTGTTGGTTTCCCAAATTGATTGGGTCGTCTGGATGACCATTGACCATTCCGCTCTATATGAGTTCATTTCATTCCGTCTTAGATTAATAAAATTAAGAATTGAAGTTGGCATATTTCTCTCCCCTCCCCCTCTATCACTAAAAGGAAAAAGTAAAACTAATGACAAGAAGAAAGTAGTATCATTGTTTACACGATAGCTTGTTAAACTGCTTACTTTTGTTATATTCTAATACGTGATTGTATGTGTTGTTTGCGAATAGCTCAACTCTGTTGAACCTCATTATTTGATGATTTGCATGAATCTATTTATCTTTCTATTTATGAGTTTCAAGGGCCTTGTTAATCGATTCGTCGTACATGTCGTTAGAAAGACAATCTCTCGAAAAACCTCCCTTTTATTATGATAATAATACATCAAACCTCACTTCATAATTATACATTGATATGAGTTCCTTTTTCTTAGTCAATTCACACAACCGAAACACTTCCTTTCTTGGGCTTTTTATTCTTTAGGAAATGTTTTTCTCTTTTGATGGACATTGGAAGACTTAGATGGTTCGGGCATGTTAATAGGAGATGCACTGATGCTCCGGTGAGGAGGTATGAGAGGCTGGCGTTGGAGGGCCAACGAAGAGGTAAAGGCAGGCCGAACAAGTATTGGGGTGAGGTGATTAAGCGAGATATGACGTTGCTTCAGCTGACTGAGGACATGACCACGGATAGGAAGGTGTGGAAGTTGAGAATAAAGGTAGAGGGTTAGGTAGCCGAGTGTTGTCCTTGTTTGTCATAATAGCTTTGATACATTTCTTAGCGTCGTTCGGGTATTTCTTTTTATGCCTAGATTGTTGTCATTACTTATTGCTGCCTTGTTTCGGTTTTCTGTTTGCATTAATTAGCGTTAGTTTTGTATTTTCGCTTCGGTTGTCAGATTGGTTTGCTTGTTATTGCCCCTTCCCTTTTTCCTTTCTAAGCTGAGGGTCTACCGGAAACAACCTCTCTACCTTTTAAAGGCAGAGGTAAGGTCTGCGTACACTCTACCCTCCCCCACTTGTGGGATTATACTGGGTGTGTTGTTGTTGTTGTTGTCGGACATTGGAAGACTACCAGACCATATAAACTTATTGATTTCTTTCACAAAGACCTTAACACTTGGGAGGTGGGTGGGGGTGGGGGAGGTTTAAATTAGGTCTGCACATCTCTGTGTTCCTGTCTCGATTTTCTGCAGCATTTTAGCCTATCTGGTATTCGCTTGTATTTTTGGCAAAAATATAAAATTGTCTTTCCTGCTTTCCTTATTTTGTTCTTTCAGTTGAATTCTAGAACACCTTCTGTGATATCTCCCATTGGGCCCGCAAACAATGGAAAGATACCCTTGAAAATGCCTACTATCGGGCAGAAGAAGCCTCTCGTTACGCAAGGTTTCTCTCCTCCACCTTCAGGGTAAACAAACTTTCTATAGCTAGTCTGACAATTTACTGATGTAGCACCTTAGTGTTATTTCTTCAAAGTGTTGACTTAATTTTATCTTGTTTTTATCTCTCTATTGTCCACAGAAAGAAGCAAAAGGTGTCTGGAGCCTTTTCAGATCAGAGCATTGAACAACTTAATGATGTTACGGCTGTTAGTGGAGTTAATCTAAAGGTAATACCATACTTTTGTTCAGAAAAAACCATTCTTTAATCACCACACAAGTTATTGAATGTTGATATTAAAAAGTATGACCTATTGATTCGTAATGCTCACAACAGGAGGAGGAAGAACAACTATTTTCTGGGCCCAAGGAAGACAGTCGACTTTCTGAAGCATCTCATCAAGCTGTGCGAGAAGAAGAGGAAAGGCTGATTCTGCAGAAAATTCCGCTTCAAAAGAAATTGACTGGAATAAGTTAAATCCTTCTCTTTAATTCTTCAGTTCTCTGGACATGCAACTTGATGTTGTAATTTAGATGATAGAGGAAGTTGTTTTCACATCCCAAAATCCATGGGATCACGTGACCGACACCCAACACTCTACCCTACCGAGACAACCAACCCACATGATCTACCCGACTATATGTACTTTAAACCATTTCAAAACAATTTGTAATCCATGCATGAAACATGTAATCCTTGGCTCATCTGGCCTATATAATGAAAATATACATATCAATAGTACTGCTTTCATACGTGCAATGTGAATAACCTTAATTACAACTCGGCTCAACTATGTATGGAGCATCCTAAGCGACTAACGGCTATGAGATTAAAGGACCACCGGGAACATAAAGAACTGAATCTAAAGGTAAGGAAGGAAGTGGACTTGCTTGACCTATTGCAGTTGTAATGGTTTGAGACCCATTGGCCATTGTGACTGTTGGAAGAGATTGAGAATATGAAATACTAGTGAAAAGAGATTTGTTACCAGAAATATGATCAGATGCACCTGAATCAATGGCCCAAGACTCAGAGGTTGAAGATTGGGAGACACAAGTCACGCTACTATCTGTTTGAGCAACGGAGGCTATGCCTGAAGATGTCTGTTTAGATGTTTTATACTGAAGGAACTCAATATAATCCGGTAAAGAAACCATCTGGATTGCATTGGATCCAATGGATTGTGAGTCAAAGGCTTGTGATACGAATGCCATTATAATGTTTACGCCGGAAAAAGCAGATCATTTTTTTTCCTTTTTTTTTGGAATTACTGTTCACGCCGGAAAAACATTAAAGTGGTCGGAATTTTATTTGAACGAGATGGGTAGGCTCGGAATTGTGAGGAGAGCAGGCTATGCTAAAGAAAACTTTTCAAAATGTTGCCGAAAAGGGCCCCATGCGCCGTCGCTTGGAGCAGATCTCGCTGGAATTTTTTTTCTTTGACTGGGCGCGTGAGGGCACGTGGAGAGGTGTTTTCCGGTGGGGTTTTGTAGGGTTTGTCGCCCGGGGATGGAGAACACTTTGGTGGTATTGGTTTATGCACAACACCGGTAAAAAGTGATTTTGACACAAACAGCTTCTCAGGTCACCGGAAAATTGCACGGTGACGACTGATTTATTCCCGGATGTCGTTGGAATGACGCACAACGATAATTATCTCACCAGTGCTCTGATACCATGTGAGAATGCACGGGACAAAATATTATTAATTGATATTCTATGTTACAATGAACCATATTTATTTATATGTATACATAACACATAACCTACTCCTATTACATGAGGGACTAGGACTAATTACATATATTCGCATAACTATTCTAACATTGAAGATGAATCTTGAAAATCTCCATTGAAGGGGTTCCTAGAGATTTCTTGGAAATTTAAAGATCTTACATGGATTCAAGTATTAGGGCTAGACTTAGTGAGTTATAATTACACCAAAACTTCATTGGAAACTCATATTGGATCATGGATTAGCTCCTCAGAGAATCCTCTCTCAAAATGCTCCATGCCCCAACAAAAATCTACTTCCTCAGTTTCAATTTATGTAGAATAGTTTGATTTGGCACGAAGTTTTAGAAAGAAGAGAAGACTATTTAAACTTGTGGTTTTTAACATGCCATAACAATTGTGTGGCTATAAGATTTTTGAAACTTATAGTCTTAAACATACCATAACATTTGTGTAACTATAATACTTTTGAAACTTGTGGTCTTTAACATGTTATAACATTTGTGTGGCTATAAAAGATTCTCATAAAAGAAATATACAAATGTATCTTTCTTTTTGACACAGATTAATAAGGAAATAGTGCAAAAACATAATGGAGTGGAGGGCGTATTTCATTTCTCTCTCCTCTTCGCTTGGCCTCATGCGGTACTCATGTGGCACATGATTATCGCATGCCCTCTATATCTGGCCAAGCAGGAACCCATGTGGCACATGGCCATTGTATGAGGGAGTCAGCTTCCATAGGCCTCCCTCATGGTGTGCTCTCACGGCATCAGTTTCGCCCTGGGTTCTGTGACCGAGCATGCGATAGGCATGTGGTGGAGGCTAAGAATTCTACCTCCGCCTGGAACCCTCTCCAAAATTTTCAACTCCCCCATGCTATGGGCGTGCCCATGCTCAAAGCATGTGCTGGGAAAATTTCCAATCTTTTTCTTTTGTTCCTTTGGTCATTTTACCAGTTCAATACACTTAGAAATCACCGCATACATATTTTCAACCTCCCATTTTTTTTTTTTTGGTTTCCATTGTTGGCATGTCAAACGATGTGTTTAGAACTTGATAACCTTCTAATTAGGCCTTAAACATTTTGAGAATTTCTGGGGTGCTAAAGTTGTCTTGCTGCTGAACTGAAATCTGTGGTTTTGTTTCCCTTCTTCTCTGTGTTTCTGACAGTGGCAAAATGTGGTTTAAAGAATATGAGCAGTGATGTCGAAAGATGCTTATCATTGGTGAGATTATATCTTTCTTGTTTTTTCTGTTCTAATTTGTGTTGCGATATCCTTGACATCTATATGTTTAACCTCTAGTGTGTGGAGGAAAGGATGCTTGGACTTATGAGCAGTCTCATCAGACTATCGAAACAGGTTAACTTTCTATCCTATCTTTGGTAAAAATTTAATTACAAAATGTTTATAAGGATGGCCTTTTTTTTTTCTTTTACATGTGAAAAAATTTGAATATAGGATTTATGCCAGAACTATGAGATGGAGTACCATTTATTTTTGCAGAGGGTCAATATTGAGAAGTCAAGACATAGAACAATTGTCACCTCAGATGTTGGTCAACAAATAATGTTAATGAACCGGAAAGTTCGGGAAGAATGGGAAAAGAAGCAGGCAGAAGCAGAAAAATTACAAGTGGCAAATGAAGTTAGTTACTCTTGTGTCTTTCTTAGTGGTTAATTCATCTAATTTTTTCTTGTCAGTGTTCATTTACAAAATTTCTAACTTTGATGACCTTTATATCAGCCAGAGGATGATATTGGAGATGATGGTGATAAGGAGAAGGATGCAGGTTGCATAAGGTCAATGAAGGTACTTTCTCTCTTCGCCCCCCTATTTGTATTTTACGGGCAGTTCCAAGATAAGCTAATGGTACCAAAGGTCATTTCTTCCTTTAAAAGACCTTACAATTCGTCGTCCCGACTTTTGGACCTTCGCAGGGAAACAAGGAAGAGGATGACAAGTTGCGGACAACAGCTGCAAATGTTGCTGCTCGAGCTGCAGTTGGAGGAGATGATATGATGTCGAAGTGGCAATTAATGGCTGAACAGGCCAGGCAGAAGCGAGAAGGGGCACTCGACGTGGTGTCTCATTCACAGCCTGGTAAAGCCTTATCAACTCCCACAAGAAATCTGAGAGACAATCAAGAAGCTAAGAACAGAACCCCTATTACACTTGGTATGTATGAAAATGGTATAATATTGAGCGCAGTTTCTCGTCTCAAGAGCATTCTAAATATGGATGATGTTCCTCATACTCAAGGTGATTTAGGTGCAGTGATGACTTCCTTGGCCTGATTAGTGGCTCCCCATCCGAGGCTAGCTCTCTGAAATTAATTTTTTTGTTTTCCTTTGCGCAAGAGAACTTGCTTAATTGTCCTGCTCCCCGGGCCATTTCTATGCTTGTATTTCCACATGTTCTCTAATGAAATTGTCAATTTCCTGGCCTGTGGCATTTTCTGGTAAATGAAACCCTGTCAATGAGGAGCCTGATGATTGAGTGGGCATCTGGATGATTGAGAAAGGATGACACACTAGTCAATTTGCGGTGGCATGAGCTTTGACCATTCTACTAGCACTGTGTTTTTCTTACCCTTATGTGATATCATTATTCCATCCTCAATATTGATTGAAAACTGGTATGTGAATAGTAGATTTCCCTTGATGATCTAGAACTGCTAACTTTAGTAGACTTCCGTGACGATAAACTCCTACTAACTACCTGTAGACATTCTGCCAAGAATGAACACTTAGTAACTAGATCTGAA